TCTTTCCGGGGAAATAAAGGTTTGTATACATTTTATTTCATTTATAAAGTCTTTAATGTGGTATAAATTATATTATTTTATGCAACGCAACATAAGGACGAGATCATGTCAGTCAGCTGCATGAGCAGCGGTCCTTTCGCACGATAGAAACGCCTTTTGCCTTGCATAACATAAATGGATTTTATTCATTATAATACAGAGTTTAAGTTAATTTGATGTTAATATATGTTCTCTAATCTCAGTACTGTTTGTTTATGGGCAGGTTTTGGAGTCAGTCGCGGCATCTTTCAGCTACGAGTGAAAGCAGAGGCTGCGGTCTAAAGTTCGCAGTTCCCCCGGCGAACAGCAGCCGGCTCAGATTTTGGCGACACACCAGCATGAGAATTAGCACCATTTCGGTAAAAAAGTGATTACAGAGAACGGTTGAATACACTTAAATTCAAATGCTACTTTTAAATATGCCTTTATTTTTAAAAATCTTTTAAATGCATGTAATATTGTAAACTATGCTGCATTCACGCAAATAAATTCAATTCATCTATGTATTTTGTCAATGGGTGTTCTTGCTTAATAATAAATGTTCCATCTTTTGATTATTGCTGTTGCCTATAGTAATTCTGTGTGTGATTTTAATTTCCAGCCCATTTTAAGCCAGCAATATAATAATTTTTAAACAATAGATGAATTAAATAAAACAACCTAGCATGGTGGGTAAAAACGTTTAACCCAACCAGCTAGTTCAAAATAACTCAGCATGTGTTCTGTCCAATATTTACCCAGTGCTGGGTTGCCAAATAACCCAAGTTGGGTTGTTTTTAACCCAGCGTTTTTAGAGTGTATGGAGTAGGTAAACATTTCTAACTGTACTAAACTACAGTTTCATGTGACTTTAATGCAGTATGCAGTGATGATACATACCTTATACTGCATAGTAGTTTTGAGAAAATAATGTGACAGCACCGAGTAAGTAGCGATAAACATTTCTAACTATTAAACTATAGTGTCATGTGACTTGAATGCAGTATGCAATGTTAGTACATACTGTATACTGCATACTAGGGCTGGGTAAAAAATAACGATATCTCGATTTTAATCGATTCCCCTTTTTACGAAACAAAATCGATAATGCAATAAGCATTGTGCTTTGGTACTTTTAATATGAAAAAGTCTCAGATTTCAAATTCTGTCCATTGTATTGCATTATTCAAAAAATAAATGCCATTTTGACGCTGTTTAATCTGGAGTGACAGATCGCTGTAGAGCCTCAGTTCAACAGAAGCAGCAGAGTGTAGCGCACGTGAACTGATCATCTCCTCCACATTAATACCAGTTTCAGCACAAAATAAACATGACTAAACATCCGAAGGTAAGTTAAAGGAAAGAGTACAACTTTACAATCCGTATCCTGTCTCATGTAATCGCTCAATCAGTGTTTCAGCCGCGCAAAGACGCCAATATAACAGCTTGTAAACAATGTCACGTAACATCACATTTACCTCAGAAAAACATATTCGGTGACCATAAACTCATTAGTCAGCTAGAAAAATAAACTGTAGAGGGGCATTTTGCTAAATATATGCACCATATAATATATTCATTATAATTTTGACTGTTCTTCAATATTTAATTTATATATTTTTTATGACAGCCACCATTTAAATGTTTATATTTAAAAAAAAAAAAAAAGAAATTGAAGTAGAAATATTATGTAATTGTTAGGGATGCACTGAAATGAAAATTCTTGGCCGAAGCCGAACAAAATAAAACACTGGGCCAAAGGCCGCATACCGAACACGGTTTTTCGCATTTTTTTCCCCATTTTGCCAATTTTTTTCACTATTGCATAAATTAAATAGCCAAAATGTGCTTTAAAAATATTTACTTAACACTGAACATTTTTTAACATGCTAGCAGACACTATACCAATAAAACACAATTTAACTTAAAAGTAATAAGTTAGTAAAATAATATTTTTTGGCCATTTTTGAAACCCCCTTCTTGAATCAGGCATGTTTTTTTTTTTTACTGTACAAATAAATGCAGCCTTGCTGAGCAGAAGAGACTTCTTTTAAAACAGAAAATATTACAGATCCCAGTCTGAACACTATATGTGAATGCTATAATAAATGTATTAATAGAGCTGTTGTAATTATTATTATCCTTTTTATTGTCTTTTTTATTTAATTTTACAGAACAACAGTAAAATTACAATAATAACATTTATTAATGTTGATGAGTTCTTGCATTTTCTCAGCTTTTATTTTGGTAGAAACCCGCAGGAAGACCTGAGTGCTTCTTTTTGTTGACTACAGCAGATTTACAAATGATTTTCATTACGAATTTGGGAAGACGTTTGTTGCACGTATCCCATTGTCACATGCCTTGTAAAAATTCATAAAAATGTTACTGAGCAACTGACGAATAACACTATTTCAGTGCAGATTTTTCTCGCGCTTTGGACTTTGAACCCTGGCTAACGAGTTCGTGCAGCGCTCTTTGCATACATGCAATTCGTTCATGTATTAGAAAACACAACGTTCTGCAGTTTATTTAATTGTTTATGGGCATTTCGCGATTTCAGTCATCATACAGTAACCAGCAACAAGCACCCCTTCCAATTCTCATCGAAGACATGAGATGCAGTACTAAACAGTCTCTCGCTGTCGGTGCTTGTAATGATTTTTGCTTCTTTCTCTGACAGTTTTAAATGATTCCACACTGTCGACATGTTTGTTGCATTAGTGTGTGCCTCTATTTGATCGCGTCACATCAGTGTTCGGTACAATTTATTCGGTCTTTTTGCTTATTTTTTTTCCCGAACACCGAAAGAGCTTTTGTTGCTATTTTCGGCCGAACATTCGGTGCATCTGTAGTAATTGTAACTTTTACTATAAAAACTTCATTAAGTGTAATTTAAGCAGTTGTATAGCCTAAAAAATCAGTCAGTTTTAACCTTCCATATTATAGTAATGTAGTAGCCTAGGCTACCAACTGGCTCTCGTGTATATTTTACAGCATTAGTTAAGATAATGTTTTTCCTTGAGAAAATTTGGCATGTGTACCTGATATATATCCAAAATAATCGATATTGAATCAAATCGACTTGGGAATCGAATCTAATCACAAGCTTGTGACTGAGAATCTAATCGAATCGTGAAACTTGTGTCAAAACCCAGCCCTACTGCACACTAGTTTTTAGCAAATGTGATAGTATGGAGTAGGTAGCAATAAGCATTTCTAACTGTGTTAAACTACAGTGTCATGTGACTAAAATGCAGTATGCAGTGATCATTCATACTGTATATTGCATACTAGTTTTGAGAAAATAATGTAACAGAATGGAGTAGGTAGTGATAAGCATTTCTAATTGTATTAAACTGCAGTGTCATGTGACTTGAATGCAGTATGCAGTGATTACATACATATTACATAAGTACATACTGTATATTGCATATTAGTTTTGAGAAAGTAGTATGCGATGATAGTATGGAGTAGATAGTGATAAACATTTCAAACTGTATAACACTACATTGTCACGTGACCAGTGCAGTATGCAATAATAGTATATACTGTATATTGCCTACTAATATTGAGAAAACAGTCTGCAACACAGTATGCAGCAGGTAGAAATAAACATTTCAAACTGTATTAAACTAGTGTCACGTGACTTTAATGAAATATGCAGTTAAATACTGTATACTGCCTACTAGTTTTGAGGTAG